TTGAGGTGTTACGTGGTCTAGCTCCTGGAGAATGAACCCTCCTGACACTGGGCCCCCCAATCCTGGAAGACCTTCCTGCGTGCAGTTATGTGTGGATTTAATCTCCTAGAGTTAATGAAGGGACATTATTTACGCCAAGTAAAGTAACCCAAGCAAGACTTTAAAACGGACCCTCCTCTCTTGAGGTTAAGAGAAGGGTTAAGTCTGTCTCTACCTAGAAATGTGATCAGTTTTCTTAGCTTGCCTGAGATTGGTGACAAAAAGTTGTCTGTTCCTTTTTAGAAGGAGTCCATGCTTTTTGGGACACTCACAAAACGTAAAATAGTCACCGAGTTATACACTGGTGCCTCGTTGATAGTAGATGCTCAATAAACATTAGTCAAATGAGTGAATGCATGAACAGTTGTATTACTTACACCCTGTGAGAGGAGAAGGTAGGGTAGTAGCAAAAACCTAAGGGAAAAGGAAGGAAGCTATGTTAGTGTTTTCCAAGTTTTTGTGCCAGGAACACAAAAGACACTAAGAGGAAGCATTGTTATGGATGGTTTATATGTCCTGGGGAAGAAGGGATCTGGAGCTTCCCAGTCTCACCTTCAGGTAGTGCATAATTATGCCACATCAAAAGCAGAATACAGCAGATGATGGGAGAAGATTAAATTACAACCAAGCTCATAATATTGCCATTTTTATCCCATTGAGAAGACCCCAAAGGAAGAGCAAAGTTGGGACTGGAGACTGGAGAGAATTTTCATTCCATCATCAAGCCTTGGATGAAGACCCAAAAGGCAAGAATGATCTTTTATTTATATAATGTATGTATGCTTTAGATGTGCCCCAATAAAGAGTGTCTCACAATAAAGTTCTCGTGCAATGAGATCAACATCAACTTGCACAGTATAAAAGGCAAAAATTAAATACAAAGAAAGATATTTAAACTGCAGAGTGATAAACACTTGAGTATCAAGCCAGTTTTGGACTTCCTGGCTACTAAGGCAAAAAGGAAAACATGAATTTATTTATTTATTTATTATTTTTTATTTTTTTATTACAAAAGTTTATTTTTACATCATTTTGTACATTTTTT